GAAATAGAGCTTCGCTCTATTTATTCAATACTAACTCGACTGCGAGTTTTTCTCATCAGTGAAAAGGTTGGTAATACTGAAATTGGACAACGCCTCCGTCACTTCCATTTCCTTTTCAGTTTGCTCGCCCATTGGAGAGCTGAGCTTTCCACGCTACGTGCCTTAGCCACGGGATGTCTTCTGACGATACTTGCAAAGAAGTGCACCTGATCGCTAACACGGGAGACAAATGACTATTGAATGTGCTAGAGTTCCATCGCTGCTCGCGCCTACTTTCTTAATATTGTTCTTGGTAACAAAAGAAGCTTCTCTTCCACGTCCAATCCAATCGTTCCTAGCACCTAGTCGATTGGTCTTCTCAATGATGGTTGCTGCTCCTTGAGATCCTGACTTTCTCAACTCAATTATACAACACCAGCAAACACCTTGCAAGCGAGTAGGTATTTCATGGAGAGGTGAAGGCTTGAACAGTGCGAACTAAATAAATTTCGAGTGGTAGAATTGAAGAATGAACATCGTATCAATAGAATCAAATGCGCTAAACCTACACTCAAAACTATATCCGCTTGATTTTAAAATTGTATTTGGTGCGCTCTTGTCACCGAGATTTGTGGATACTCTGTGTAGTGGTTGCTATTTTCAAATGACTGATTAAAACCGTTACAAGTTCAAGCAACTAGAAGAACTTAAAAAGGGAATTCGTTACTTCCCTAGGGTGGCTTGGTGCCGGTATCTCCACAACATTTCACCTCCAAAGAAGGATTGCCAGCGGTTCCTTCTTTGGGTCCACTTCAGATCAATGATCAGTGATTGAAGAGTGATGCTTAGATTTTCGCTAGTCAAGAGCGGAGCTCGAAGTAGCCTGGATCCGCGATCCAACTGTCCGATGCAAAATGACCTCGTTCCTTTGTTCAATGTCTATCGATCAGTGAAAGCACTAGATTCTTTACGAAGCGGAGGGACATCAGAAAAGAGCCAATTGTGCGAATGGCTTGACCATCAACGTACTGGAGATAGACTGTGTAGTTTTTATTCGCAGATAAGTCGTGTAGAGAAAAGATCGCTCTGTACACGATACATAATTTTTCAGAGATCGGTCGTTGCTGGTTCCAACAGAATATTTGGCGTACATACTGAAAGCCTTAAAAGAAGTACGCTGAGCATTGCTTACATTGCATCCAAGGATTTGCTCCGCCTTTCTTCGCATTATCAAAGTGTTAGCAGCGTTGTAGATCAAAGTCCTAGTTCGAGTGATAACTGCAAAGCAAACTCACACAAATGGTATTTACTAAATTATTGTGAATGCAAAGCTTTTGGCATCAAGAAGATGTAGACAGCGTAGTATGACGCGTTCATCCCTTACAGTACCGAAAATATTCATTTAATAATTGCTTCCTTCACAATTTTTTCGCAATTTTTTATTCCTTCAATTTCCGATATTTGTCTTTGTTACGACCAGTTCTTGAGAGGAAGATTTATTGCAGGAAATAAACTGAACCTCACTTAGTCGAGGTGTTTATATACACCTCGAGGTCAGTGATAATACAAGATCATAAACAATCTTCATTTCCACAACACCTCCCCCCTAAGATGGACACTCTAAGTGTACGTCTTCTTCTTAGGGTCGACCATAATCAGCCGCTCCGGTGCGCGTCGTAGTCGCACTACCCGTTGTGCACTAATGTCTTTCTCTGTAGACATGTCGTCGTTTCGGAGTGTTCACCTGAACGTGCATGTGAAATGTTGCTAGTCCTTAGCTGGTTGTCCAGCCCTCTCCTTGATTCTTCTGAACCAGGCGATCTATGGTTTTTGTAGGTGGGACAGGAGCGGAAGATCTGCCCAAGTTCTGGTGGCGGCCGGGGGGTTTTTTTTTTGACTCCCCCCGGAAAATAAAAAAAAAAAATAACCGAAATCTTGCCAGCGTTCGAACGGCTGATTCGCGTGACGTTTCCAAATTTGTCCGTCGATCAGTACATCGTACAGCCTGTTTCCGTACCGCTTCAGTACCCGTCCTTGTGCTTGCTTTGGCTTTCTTATGAACGAATAGTCAATAGCTCCATACCAAGTCGCCCAGCGTTGAACTCCTTCTGTCGAGCTCCGATGACGATTATATTGTTCCTCCATTGTGTGGTTGCGAATGCTGTCGTTTGTCGTGACGTTTGGCTTCAGGAGGCTCAATCTGGTTCGTATCTCTCTTCCGAGGAAAACTTCGGCCGGTGATTTTCCTTCTGGTGTGGATGAGCAGGGAGTTCGCCGATAGGTTTGCAGGAATTTTTGTAGTGCTTCGGCTGGCGACAATCTTCCCTTCATTTTCTCGAAGTTCCTTTTGAAGGTGTCGACAAAACGCTCCGCTTGTCCGTTAGACTGTGGGTGGAATGGCGGAGATTTCATGTGTCTTACGCCATTTGTAGTGCAAAAGTCTTCGAAATCCTTTGATATGAACTGGGGTCCGTTATCCGTCACCAACGTTTGTGGGTTGCCGAACTGGGCGAAAAGACGGCGTAACTCTCTAATCGTACTGCAGGTCGTTGTAGAAGACATTTCGACGATTTCCGGCCACTTTGCCCAGCGGGATAAGCACGCGACCACTTGAGGTAGCATTTATACCCATCGAACGGTCCTAGCGAAACCGTATGTTATGGCGATTCCATGGCGCCAGCATTTTCCACTGAGGCCAGTTGAGCAACAGTGTCCTCGCTTTTGACCATGGCATTCTTCGCCGTTTTCTGGCAGCGACGACAAGTTCTTGACGAAAATCTCTCGATGTCGTGGTTGATGTTCGTCCAGTAAACGTAGTTCCTAGCGAGCATCTTCATACGAGTCGTCCCTGGATGTCCGTCATGAAGTTCGCGAAGCACGGCGTCTCGTAATACATCTGGGATCAAAATGCGATCTCCGATAAGTAGGCATCCATTCTGTGTTGTGAGCGCGATTCTCTGAGACAATTGAATCGACTTGTGACCTCTGATTTCTTTGGCCATTCTCCGCTCCGAACGAATTTCAGAACGCTCTGCAGAACTGGATCCTTGGATGTTTCTTCCGCTATTTTCTTCGCATCGACTGGTAACTTCGATATTGCATTGACGAATATCGTGTACGAGTCTTTTTCGATTGTGGCGATTACTATATCTTCTACAAAGTCGGTGTGGTCATCTCTGCAGCGAGCCGACGATAGGGCCGTCTGCTTGCCAACCCTAGAGGTAACTTCGTATTGCCGATAGAAAATCGTAAGTTCTTCACTATAAGCCAGCGCTGACTTCTGTTAAGCCGTGTAAATAGGCTACCTCGCCTTCTTGCTTCCGAAAACTGCGAGCAACGTGGAACAATTAAAAGCAGGCTTTGAAATGAAACGATCCACGTTCGAATGTAACGGTTGGCTGAAGGAGAAATGCTAATTTCCATTTGAGTGTTTTCGCCGCGTAAGTTCGCAATCTCATCCTGGATCGCCGAGATGTTACGACCAGTTCATTGCAGAGAAAGCTTAGTCAGGGATAATTATATCTAAACCTCACTTATATCGAGTGTTTATAACGCCCTCGAGGGTCAGTGAATAATAACAACAATCTAAAGCAATCTCTCAACTTTCCACAACTAGTCTTATCGCGTCTGGTAACTTTTACGTAATAATCCATGTACGAGGGCGTGAAGCACGTTAGAGCAGTGTAATTCAACAAAATCAGTGATCTGATGTGTTCCAGCTGATTGCCGCCTCCATGAAATAACTTGGCATGTTTATTCATAGATTTGAGAAAAGGAGAGCTGCTGCTCTGAGCGTCCACGACCGCTTTTCTCAGTTTATGACGGACGCTGGTGCTGCACGTTTTGTAGATCTTACGAATAGATGCATTCCCAAAAAAGTTGTGCCACAGACGCAGCTGACATATTCAGAGAGACGAGAACCCGCTGAATTGATTGAGCTCCCCAATCTACCAAGAAAGTCTGTAGTGAAGACAAAAGGTTATGTTTACAGGAGAAGGAATATAAGATACATCCTCACATTTGACTGTCCCACATCCAAACGTCGCGTAACTCGTTCTTCTGTTTTGGCGAAACTTACCGCTAAGCATGCTTTATAAGGATCTAACCGAGTTGCCGGTCGTTAACTTGCGCTGTGTTTTCTGCTAGTGCTCGTATCAGAATTAATCCACTGTTATTCTTATTACAGCTGACGAGCTGCCGTAATGTAGTCCTTGCATGCTGGTGTAAGAAAAGTGGTCTAAAGTGTCAAAAAGTGTCAGAGTTGTTAGCAGATAGCGGCGGATTAGGCGAACTCCAGTCTGCATGAAAATATACACGTATCACAAGATTCGCGGCGAGTAGTCGTATGTACGGCAGACCCCGTGGGGAGGCCCTATTAATAACATCATCTACGATTGTGGAGCGGTAGAACTTCGGTGACTTTTTTGTTGAGAACCTCCATACTTTACTTTTATTTGTTTCATAATCGTCTCTTAAAGTATCTATATGGTTCTAGTAAGGATTTCTATAGGAGACAAAACATATGACAGATAAACATAACAATAACCTAAAAAAAGGACCATTAAAACACACAAACATTCGTACACAGTAATAGGAAGTAAAAAACAATAATGAAGATTTCGAATCTGCCGTAGTTTTCACATAAGAGACCGAAGTATTTGATCCACCTGAAAAAGAAGGCTGGTCATCGGACGTGAGGCGTTCATCTTTCAGTTTCAAATGACTGATCGTCAAACGATGGACCTGCTGGAGGCCGTAGAGGCATTGCAAGAATTACACGAGCCGCTACTCGTGAGGTCGCGCATCGCAGGGAGTACGTGCGAATAGAGCACGTACCATTCCTGGATGCGCGGCTCCGAACGTTGATGAGTACTTTGCGATGTCACGAACCTAACGCAAACTTTTCCCACAAGCAACACTATAAGCCGAAAACCACGAATATAAGACTTCAGCCGGCAGAATTTGAGAGAGTATTTGCACGAATAGCCGGTGATCTACAACACTCCATCAACCACGCCTCCCCAATAAGCGGCCGACAGCGACTGTGCATATTTTTGACCGTTGTGGCCCATCTTTTGAATGGAGCGATCTTGCTGAGTTTTTAACCCCATGTGGACACAACTTAAGGGACCGTATCAAATTTTAGTTAAAATTCATTATGTCTGCACAAGGCACACGTGAAAACGACCCAACACCAATGAGAATCTAAATCGACCATGAACATCCACACAAATGGATTGAACTCACCTGAGCTGCGCTAATGATGAATTAACATTAACCTCGTCCCTCGCACTTATTCTTAGACGAGTCTTACTTGACGTGGCATAAGCGTGTCACTCAGATAAGAGACGATACCACACTGATATAAAATCTTTTATCAGGACCACAGCCACGTCTGCCACGTAGCAAACCGTGCTGCAGAAGAGCACACATTCACTGAATTCAGCAAGAAAGGATTACTTACATTACATAACTGTACAAAGAACGGGTAGAAAACTAAAAGCATTTCCTGATTTGCACACGGCGCACTCTTTAGTCGTCAAAATTGAGGTGCATAGGCATATTAGCTTCTCACCCATACACTAGACTACTAGTTGTTAAGAGCAGATCTTGTCAAAGTGTTGCATCCAATCCAGATATCACCTGAATCGCCTACTCGCCTAATCGCCTATATCGCCTACTCGCCTGATCGCCTACTCGCCTAATCGCCTACTCGCCTCATCGCCTAATCGCCTAATCTCGACGCAAACGACGCCCAACTATGAACGCTGCCGAGTAATCGTTTTCCATGAGAGTACACGATAAACATGCACGTGGTTTTCGGATGATTGCAGTGCTATCAGTCCGTACGAAACTAAAGCTTCATTTGCAATGAAGTACGACCCATTTCCAATTGGCACCACCACCATGCCGCCGTCAAGATCATCGTATTCACCGCGAGAGCAACAACTGAGAGGCGAGGCTGCGACTCGACGTACAGTTTGATATAGACACCGAAAAAGCTCCACCTTTCCATGATCGCGCTCTACAAAACACCTAAAACCCGTTTCATTCTGAACTTACAGGCACAAAAAGAAGTCGATTGTTGGCTTCTTCGATCAGACTTCTATCACGGTTACCTACCACGACAAGATGTAGCAGGACTTCTTAAAGGGCATGGAGATTTCCTTGTCAGACTGAGCGAGGTAAGAGCCGGATGTTAGTTCTTTCCATTTCATTTTTGAAAATGTGTAGGCAAAGAGCCGTATGCTGTCCTGCCCCGAACCTGGTTGATCCAAAGTTCCTTTAAATTTATTTGTTCTGAACGAATAGCTTCTTCATTTTCAGTGCATGTTTACTTTTACTGACATGCATACATTTAATGTAGGCCCTTTATGAGGGGCACTTTCAGTTGGAAAGACAGGGAAAATTTGAAAGGGATATTCGTCCTCGCCACACATCTCCATTGAGAATTCTCGTCCCCCCAACTCCTTGGAGGAGCATAGCATACGGCTCAAAATAGGGTTAGGGAATCACTTTAAAGAGCAGTACTTTGCTACACACACCATCCTAGGATTAAGGCACAACGTTACTGCTGCGTGTCACAAGATATGCGCATCTTGCCCTCCTCAGAGGCAAGATTTTACGTGTCCGTCTATAAGCGCTTCCCTTACAAAGGCTCATAGATTCGCAATGGCGAAGTAGATCCACTGCTAACACTCGAAGTAAACTGAGAAATGCATTGTGTTTTTCACCAACTGATAGTGGGTGATCCCTTGTATAACCGGGTTCTCACGTAGTAAAGTGGTTTCTGTTTTGATCTTTTCCCTTTCCTTTCTGTTTTCATGGCACGACACAAAGCTCACCATTGTCCAGAATGGTCGGCTCAATACCAATGATAGCAACTGCTTCAGACTGTGAAATTGATGCCAGATAAACAGCAGCAAAGGCAGACATCGAATATAATCTCAGTCTTAATTGATGAGGAAAAGAAGTCGTCTTTAATTAACTCGATAGAAGAACGAGAAAAAAAGGTAAGAGATACGATTCCCCTTTGATGATAGTATTTATGTGAGCACACAGTCATTATTACATAGCATAAGTGATTGCTGGAATAAGTGATTGCGGAATGATAATACCTCCTTATACCCCTTCCCTCCCAGCCCATGTTTCCCTTTCCCCTCTCCTCCTTCCAGCCTCCCCTTTCTTGCCCCCTTCCCTCTACCCCTCCCCTCCCCCCCCCCGCTCATCCGGCTGCCACGGCAGCACCATGTAGAATGAGACTGAGTGTGCTCGATCGGTGTTTATATAGCCGCTGTGGGTTTATCATGATCATGACATCAACATCACGAAGTGTTGCCCTTCGTACTCCCTGGTTTTGTGAGCGGTTGGTCCGGACGGACAGAACGACACACGCACACACACACACCGAC